TTGGTATTGTTCTTTCTCCCAGTCACAAATCAAATCCCTTCTCTTAACCTAGTTGGAGCCTAGTTTGAAGACATATAGCCAACTGAACAAAAATCAAGTGGGAAAAAGCTCAGAGAATAGTAGAACCTGTCAATTGACTTTACAAGCTTCAGTGCTGCCATAGCCACCAGGACCTCAAATCCCTGTCTATAGAGCTGCTAGAAGTAACCCTTATCAGAGCTACAGCATCTCATGGTTTTCTTGTTTTATTCTTATATCTGCAAAAAATTGAATCAATTCATGGAGTGCTTAGAACTTACCCACAAGTATTTCAGTGGTTTTTCCCATTCCTAGATGTGTTGGGCACAAACAGTTTTACTTGTTTTGTAATGTATCAAATTAAATAACTCAAAGGAACTGTGTGAGCATAAATGAACACTGTGAGAAGTTATTTACTATAAATGACACCTTAACTTATACCTCAACTGGATTTTTTCATTTATTATATCACTGCATGAAATTCCAATAATGGGGGATTCATTTGGGTAAGGAGTTTTCTATTTTATTTTTTTTCAAGATTTTTATTAAAAATATAGCTAACATACACTATTATATTAGTTTCAGGGCTATGCCATAATAATTCAACATTTATATACCTAAAAAAGTGATCACCATGATAAGTCCAGCAACCATCTGGTACTGTACTATGCTATTACTATATTACTGACTATATTCCCTATGCTGTATATTACATCCCATGAATTATTTGTTTCATAGCTGGAAATTGGACCTCTTATTCACCTTTGCCTTCTCCTCCCTTTTTAAATTTTTAATTACAGTCAGCATTCAATGCTCTTTTATATTAATTTCAGGTGTACAGCATAGTGGTTAGAATTTATATAACTTAAGAAACGATCTCCCTGGCTATTCTAGTACCCACCTGGCACCTTACATAGTTATTACCATATCACTGACTATATTCCCTGTGCTTTACTTTTTACATCCCCATGACTATTTTGTAACTACCAATTTGTACTTCTTAATCCCTTCACCTTTTTCACCCAGCCCCCAACTTCTTCCCATCTATCACCCCAACAAATCTACCCATCTGACACCATACACAGTTATTACAATATTATTGTCTGTATGTCTTATGCTATACCTTACATCCCCATAACTACTTTTTAACAACCAATTTGTACTTCTTAATCCTTTCCTCTTTTTTCACGCACAACCCAAACCCCTCCCATCTGGCAACCATGAAAATGTTTTCTGTATCTATGAGTTTGTTTCTGTTTTTTAATTGTTGTTGTTGATTTTGTTCTTTAAATTCCATATATAACTGAAATCACATTGCATCTGTCTTTTTCTATCTGACACTTCACTCAGCACAGTACCTTCCAGGTGCTTCCATGAGACCACAGATGGCAAGAACCCAACCCCTTCCACAGACGAGTAAATTGTCCATTTTATATATGTACTAACTCCTCTTTACCCTTTCTTCCATCAATGCCAGGCTGCCTCCACATCTTGGCCATTGTAAACAATGCTGCCATGAATATATGGATGCACAAGTCCCCTTGAAGTAGTGTTTTGGGTTTCTTTGGATAAATACCCAGAAGTGGGATTACTGGGTCCTTCTTTGTCTCTTGTTATAGCCTGTTTTAAAGTCTATTTTATCTGGAATAAGTATTGCTATCTCAGCTTTTTTTGTTTGTTTGTTTCCATTTTCATGAAATAACTTTTCTATCCCTTTACTTTTTTTCTGTGTATGTCTGTCTTTCAATTTGAAGTGAGTCTCTTGTAGGCAGCATATGTAAGGGTTTTCTTTTCTTATCCATTCAGCCCTCCTATGTCTTTTGATTGGAACATTTATCTATTTATGTTTAAAGTAATTGTTATAGGTATGTAACTATTGACATTTTATTATTCATAAATTTGATTTTGTGTGTGTGTGTGTCTTAAAGAAGTCCCTCTAACATTCCTTGTAACACTGGTTTGGTGGTAATGAACTCATTTAGCTTTTTTTTTTTTTGATCTGGAAAGTTCTTTATCTGTTGTTTGATTTTAAATGATAGCCTCGCTGGGTAGAGTGCCTTTGGTTGTAGGTCCTTGCTTTTCATCACATCGAATGCTTTGTATCAATCCCTTCTGGCCTGCAATGTTTCTTTTGAGAAATCAGCTGACAATCTCATGGGGCCTCACAAGTTACTAGTTGCCTTTCTCTTGCTGCTTTTAGGATTCTCTGTTTGTCTTTAACCTTTGTCATTCTAATTATAATGTGTCTTGGTGTGGGCATATTTGAGTTCATCTTATTTGGGACTCTCTGCACTTTCTGGACTTGTATGTCTATTTCATTTGCCAGGTTAGGAAAGTTTTCAGTCATTTCTTCAAATAGGTTCTCAATCCCTTGCTTTCTCTCTTCTCCTTCTGATATCTTTATGAAGCAAATGTTGTTACACTTGATGTTGTCCCAAGGTCTCTTAAACTATCCCCATTTTTTTGGATTTTTTTGTTTTTCTTTTTTCTTTTCCGTTGAATGTTTTTTGCTACCTTGTCTTCCATATTGCTGATTTGATCCTCTATTTCATCGAGTCTGCTGGTGATTCCTTCTAGTGCATTCTTCATTTCAGTTACTGTTCTTCACTCCTGACTGGTTCTTTTTTTTATGGTTTCCATGTCCTTTTTAATGCTTACTATCTCTCTGTTGAAGTTTTCTCTAAGTTCCTTGAGCATCCTTATAACCATTGTTTTTAACTTTGGCTCGGTAGATTGCTTACTTCTATTTAGTTCTTTTTCTGGAATTTTCTCCTGTTCTTTCATTTGGGATGTATTTCTTTGTTTCCTCATTTTGGCTGTCGCTCTGTGTTTGTTTCTATGTATTAGGTAGATCTACTATGTCTCCCAATCTTGGCTGGGTAGCCTTATGTAGTAGGTGCCCTGTGGGATCCTGGAACTGTCTCCTTGGTCACCTGATCTGGGTGCTCCAGGAGTGTCCCTTGTGTGGATTATATGTGCCCTCCTGTTATAGTTTAACCTTGATTGCTATTGGCACATCAGTGGGTAGGATTGGTCATATGCTTATAGGCTGTGAGGTTTGGTCATGTCCACAGCTTATGGGCTGCTGTGTGGGGGCTTACTTCACTGTGTGGGTCATCCCCAGTGGGCTCTGGTGCCTGTTAAGATTTCTCTTTGTGTGTGCCACTTGTGGGGCTAATGGGTGGTGCTCTGCAGTGACTGAAGACGACCTCCAAGTATGTTGGTACTGGGGTCTTCTGGGAAGGGCTCTGGTGCAGTCCCTGGCCAGCCACTGCCTACAAAGTAGTCCATTGTTGTTTGCTGTCTGTGCTAAAGTTGGAGGCATGTGGGAAAGGCCACCCTGTGAACTGAGGATGGCTGTCACCAGTACTGGGCCTGGGGTAGATCCAGAAAAAGCCAGGATACTCTGAAGCCTGCTGCCACCTGTTGGCTCCCTTAGGGTTCAGCCACTGATAAAGTCTCATGTGGTATGTTTGTTGGGTGATACAGGGTCACATGGAGTCACTAAAGTGGGAAGACTTATAGTCACCAGGTTAATATAGACTCTGGTTTGGTACCAGTGCTGAGGCTGAAGCGCCTCAGCAAAAGTCTCAAGAGTACACTGAGGCCAGCTGCCACCCACCTGGGGCTTGCAGACTCTGATAGTTTTCCAAGAAAGAGTGACATGTGGGCAGGGCTGACTGCTGTGGGGGTTGGGGGGAAGTGCCTCCAGCACTGGGGGAGTTGGATGGGGCTGGGTCCCAGCAGAGCTCACAGACCAATTCAGATGCAGATCTGGCCATGGGCATTGGGGGAAGGCTCAGCACAGGAAAGATGGCACCCACCTGCCAGCTGCAGGTAAAATGGTGACTGTCCTCCAACCCTAGCCCTGAGGCCACATACTTCAGTCTGCCTCCAATGCCCCCTGAGTCACCATCCCTCTGCCGGAGCCAAGGTTGAGTGCCTGCAAGTGAGAGAATCTGTATGTGGACCATTTAAGAGGATGCCTGGGTTTCCCTCAGCCTTTCATTCCACCCAGATAGTTGGAATCCCCACTGTTTTTCACAGCCAGTTGTTGTGGGGGTTCCTCTTCCCGGACCTGGGCTGGAGAGCTTGGTGTGGGGCTGGTGTCCCTTGCTCCTCAGGGGGAACCAAGGCAGAGATATCCCTCCTGATTCTCACCACCACACGGAGGTTTGGGGCCAGCCCATTTCGCATCTCCACCCCTCCTACCAGTCTCAATGTGGATTCTTCTTTATATCCTTAGTTATAAAACTTCAGTTCAGCCAGACTTTAGATGGTTCTCCAGGTTGATTGTTCTATAATTTAGTTGTAATTTTAATGTGTTCATGGAAGGAAGCAAGCACAATGTTTATCTACTCTGCCATCTTGAGGAGCTGTCTACCTTAAAAAATGCAAATACCTATGGCAAGTTTAAAGATTTGTGAGTGAGTCACACGTTCATGAGAACTAGTTCAATCAGATTGGTTTCCAGTGCCCTGAAGGAATGAGAATTGTAATTGAAGGAAAAAGAAAGAGATACTTTAGAGAGTGCATTTAGGTTTGTGAAAAGGGCAGTCTAGTGTAGGGCACTTAGACTATTGGAAAGTACCAGGAAGTAGGGCACTCATCCCGGAAGTGGGACAAGAAGGTGCCAGAGACAAACTTGACCTTTAAATGCTTGCTCAAGGCAGGTCCCAAACAGGGTCACAGAATGTCATAACAGAAAGCTGAAGATGACTAATTCCTTTTCTTGTCAAGGCATTACTGGAACGAGTTATTAACTTGTTGTTCTAAGAAAACGATTGGACTTTTATTATATCATCACAAAGCCCTTAGCGCTCTCCTCCCTTCCAGAGAACACACAATGGGGAGGAACCAACAGTCTGGAGGCAGGAACTCAGACTCTCCACTAAGCCCCTGTGGCTAGAAAGGACCATGTATATAAGGGTGGTCTGGGGCAGCGGGCTTCAGACTGCGTTGGGACTAGAGACTGCCCAGTTATTTAAAGAAGCAAGATCTCCTGTGAAGGTAAGTTTCTTTAGCTCCAACGGTGGGTCCAATTTATACCAGAGCCTGTATGGGCCTCTGCAGGGTCTGGGTTCAGAAGGTGAGAGAAAGGTAGTTGCTGATCTGGGTTTGAACTATGCAGGTCAAAGTGTTTCTGAAAAGAACCCTGAAGTCTGGAGATTTCAATTTTCTTCTCAGCTTTGCTGTTGCTTATCAGTGTGATCTTAAGGAATAAACTACAGTCCTTTGGCCTCGGTCTTCTCATTAAATTAGGAGGTCTTTTGGCTTGAGTGATCCCTGAGGTCCTGTCAGCTCATATTTATATTAATGGTCATTTGATGGAATTTCTGATGCTGCTAGGTATTGTCATTTCCCAGGATTCAGGTCCTTCCAGAGAACTTCTGAGACTCCTTGATTTTGGAATGGTTCTGGAGGTGGTCTGTAGCCTTGATATTTCAGGAGAAAGGCTGTTCTCTAGGTGCTAAAAGGCAGTGACATTGGTTTGACTTCCTTTATGAAATCAGATGTGAAGAAGACACCGATGACATTGCTCATTCTGTGATGGCAAAATAGTCTCTCACATGACAACTGTCATTGTGGGGCTGGGGTATGTGTGTTAGGGCTGGGGTATGTGTGTGTTGGCGGGCTTGCTTAGATTAGAAATCTAAAAATCATGGTTGGAGCAATTTGCTAGTCTCTGGACATCCAACATCACTAATTGAGGCTCTGGATGGCTTCTGAAGGAAGGCAGTCAGCTCAGTTTTTAACCCTCTTCTATGGAGACACAGAGAGATATTGTTTGTTTGGGTATGGTACAGCCTGGATATGGGTTAGACATTTTTGTTTCAGAGAAGCTCAGGGCTAGAACTGTGATCCTAGCTGGAGCCAGTGGAATGAACCTAGGTTTTTGGATCTGGGGAAATCTCCCAGATCTAACAGGGTAAGAGAATATCTTTGATTTTCTAGTCCACTGTAGAAAAATCTAGGAGAGATTCTTAGATGAGTTTGGTACCAACCATTAAACAGAGTAAGCACCTCTCAGTGAAGAGAAGAGGGCCCACTGTAGAGTGAGAGCCCAATTATTGGACTGTGACTTCCTTGAGGGCAGAAATTCTAATTGATCCCTACCCCTACCATCTAGGGCAACACCTAACCCATGGGGAAGCACTCAATAAAGCCTTGTTTAAATGAATTATATCTACCGCTTTTCAAATTTCCTTCTAAATCTCTCTCCTAACCATCCAAATAATAGAAAAGAATAGAATTGATTTAACTAGTAGTGGTATAATTGGTTTTATGATTAATTTCTCCACCCCAAGGGTAACCACTAAGCTGACTTCTAACACAGATTGGTTTTTCCTTTTTTGGCAGAATCATAAGAGTTTCTGTTCTGGATTTTTCACTCAGTACTGTTTGTGAATTCCATCCATACTGTAGTGTGTCATTCTTGTTTGTTCATTCTCAATGCCGTATAGTATTCTATACCCAATATTGTTGAATCCATGTTCATGAGCATGTGATGTGGGTAGTTCTCGGTTTGGGGCTATTTTGAATTTTTGAAAAGTGTTGTTATAAATATTCTTGTACATGTCTTCCAGTGCATAAATTTAAGCATTTCTGTTGGGTGTAACACCCAGGAATGGAATTATTGTGTCGTAGGGTGTGTGTGTGTGTGTGTGTGTGTGTGTGTGTGTGTGTGTGTATGTGTGTGCTGGAGGGCCAGAGAAGGCTCTGGGGAGGGGAAACCTTGAGATGAGCTTTGAAGAATGGATGCAATTCAAACCAGAGAGAGAAAGAAACATCTTGTGCTTGTTCGTGGGTAAAAGGTATGTTGGGATAGAGCAGAGGGTGTGCCCTGCAGGTTGTATACATGGAAAGGAGCTGTTACACTGAGAGACTGAGCATCTGGGTTGAGGTTATCAACCATGGGATGTGAGAGGAGTGATGAGGCAAGGTCAGTCAGAAGGTAAATGGAGGAACGGGGGAAGAAAGGCTACCTCAGTTTGATTAGTAATGCAGCTCAAAGTCTGACTCTTTAAGATGCAAATAGTCCTGAAAAATAAGAGGAACAAATTCATATCTTTTTCAATATTTTTCCTATTCAAATGTGTTTTGAAATTTTCAGAAAAGAGAAAAATCAAAAGGGTTGGTCCTTTAAAAATGTGGAAGGTGGTGGAGAAATAAGACTAGAAAATGACCTAAGATTAGGGTACTGCTGACTTCTGGGTGGGGACTGTTAAGCCCAGAAGCAGGTTGGAGCAGATAGAGTGATCCCACTGAGGTTGTGCTCAAGGAACTGGTAAGAAAGAAAAGAAGAGAGTGTACCAAGGAGATGCCCAGTGCTTACTCTGGTCAGGCTGAGCAGGCCAAAAGCCCACTGGGAATGCACAAGGGTCTTATCTGTTCTCAGAGCACTGAATAAGGTGACAGCCAAGCTACTACTAGCCTGATATTTGATTCACCTGCAAGGCGTGACCTCAGGGTCTGGCTTCCACACAGACCAAGTGAATTTTCCTAAGCCCAAGGAAAGCTATATCCACTACACGGCAACTCAAGGTACACACTCACATTCTGGGATTGTCAGAGTGTCTGCAATTTTACAAAGATTTGTGGCTATGAAGTGTCTCTTTGAGTCAGATGAAAGATAGAGCAGTTAGGAGTGGGTAGGGAGCTCGGCCAGCCATGTTTTTATATCTCCAAATAGTCACGCCATCATCAGCAGATAAGGTAGAAGGTTTCCTGCCTCCCACACAACCACTGTCTATTCCCAAGGTGCACGTTTCCTTTGGAGATTCCTTCCTCTTTGAAGGCTGACCTTTATTTTACTTTGTTCTTCAGGGGCTCTTTGCCCTGAATCCCACATACCCCCCTCCTCCATAAAGAGCCCCAAAACAAGTCTGGATCAGAGGGTGGCTGTTAAGGAGGCCCCTGAAAGCAAGCCTCAACCTAATGAGTTCTCAGAGGTGTGATCAGAACAGAAGAGCAGCCAAGTGATTGACAGTTCACAAAAAGTTCTCACATCCTTTACCTCATTTCAGCTTCACATCAGGAGGGGCAGAAAGGGCAAGTTTTATCATTCTTTACATTTCACAAATGAAGAAACATCCATCCATTTATTTGTTCAGTCAGCTAGTCAGCAAACATTTATCAAGCATCTGTTCACTTGTGATACAATCCTGGGTGGACTCTGTGAATCCAGCAAAAAATATATACCCTTCTTGCTTTCAATAGCTCATAGTTGAGCCATTATTATTCCTGAAAGAAATGTTCTCTGATAAATGAAGGTGACTGCTTGGAGTCCTCTGTTAAAAACTAAATCTAAGTGTAAACAAATATATAACTAGTAAAAAATTTCAAGATTCTTTTAAACCATTAATTTTGCAAAATCATTTCCTCTTTTATGAACAGGTCATGATGTATACACAGAGATATGGGTTTTCCTATTCATAATCGGTACCCACAAAACCACCTGACGGCTGCCCAGGAATATCTGGTGTCATCATCACATCTAAAAAATGAATTAGAGACTTTAGCAGAGAGAAATGTCGGTCTATAGCTCCAAGTCTTTTTGAGACACGAATATAACCATGAATATTAAAAATCAGTAAAAACAAACAAAAAAATCAATGAATCAATTAGAGATAAAATTCTGTTGCACTAAGATAAATTCTTAATGATGGGCTCAATTAACCACATTTTATTCTATAAATTCCTACTTGGAGCTTACCCCCATGCCTAGCACTGTGCAACAACAATCTACCTGGTTAGACAGTGCTTTAAGCCAACTTGTCTATAAAGGACCAGCCAGCAAATATTTAGGCTTGTGGGCCACATGATCTCTGTTGCAACTATTCGACTCTGCTGTTGTAATGTATGCTGCAAAAGCAGCCATAGACAGTACATGACCAGGAAAGTGTGGCTATGTTTCAATTAAATTTATTTATAAAAACCAGGGGTGGGCCATATTTGGCCCAAGGGCCACAGTATACCAACCCCCCACGTTAGAGCTTTTTCAAGCCACTACACATTGTTATCTCTTCTGAGTCCTGAGAGTAGCCACAGTATGTGTCATCTCCATTTTACAGGTAAGGAAACCAGTTCAGAGGTGGTAAGGGGCCTGCCCACACCCATACAGGTAAGAGCTGGCAAACCCAGCCATCTCCTGGGTTTTATAGTTCTAAATCCAGCAGTCCATGACCACTGTACACCACCCATTACACAAAAGAAGTACAGTCCCTGCCCAAGATAAATCAGGCAGGGCCCATAGTTTGTCTTGTTCTTTTGTTCCAACTGTCAAAAGCAGGGAATTGATCGCTTTTTCAACTTGATGCTTTTTATCATGCAGACAGAGATTCTGTGCAAGGAGCCTAGGTTTCTCTTCCAATTTTGCCTCAGAAAACTTAGTGGGTTGTGGCAAGATGCCAGAGTTCTCTGGAAATCAGTCATCCTCTAGGAGGATGCTATAGGTTCATAGTACCTGTGAGCTAGGATGTAGTTCTTATTCTTTGGTTTCCTTTCCAGAGCCCCACTCTACCCTTATGAGGTGGACCAAGGGCCAGGTGTATGTATCAAGCATGGACACAGGGGCTAGCACATAGTAGGTTCCCCGTAAACATCTGAATGAACTGAACATCAGAGCAGGGACTTAAAGCATGGAACAGACGAAGGTGTCTCACCTGGTGATCCTTCTCAACGTTCCCCAGCCAGTTAGCACTCAAAGGCCTCCTCTGGATCATGAACACCAGGGAGCCCCTCGTATGTCACCATCACAAAGCTTTTCCTAGCACCTAACACTTATAGACAAGCCAAGCACAGCCAATACAGAAAAAGTGAAGATCAAGGCTCTGCCCCCTCTGCTGAGCACAAATTAATCCTGACATGAAGAACAGGACCGAGGAGTCTAACACCCTCTGGGGGCCGAGGGAAGAATTCTCAAGCACAGGCAGCCTTTCATACGCTACTACCTGGTGCCGCAGTTAGCTTTCCCCTATTCACTTACATAGTATTATTTTATGAACCTGCCCCAACACAGTTCACTTACAATAGTTAAAATGAATTTCTAAATATGACCAAGAGCCATCTGACCTTTTGCAGAGAGATGTAGCAATCTGGGAATGAGCCAATTTTACACTCAGCTTGTAACATACAGAAAACATGTAAGAACTGCCAACCACTCACATCTGGGTCTAGACTCTCCTTAGTGTCACTTAGGGATAGTTACAAAAAGAAGATAGGTGTGGGTGTGGCCTTATTCTGAAATTGGGAGGGTGAGAGAATCTTGTGATGGGCATTTTGTCTTCAGAGCCCCAGAAGCGGGCAGCAAGGCTTCTCATGAGATACAATGTTTTCAGGCTCAGAGAGGAATCCAAGTGTGACCCAGCTCTCGGCAAGGGGGGCATGAGCCTGGGTCAGGTTCTGCAGCCGAAGGACCTGCCCCCACTTGGCATGTCACAAGCAGGGAAAGCTTGCTGCTTAGACTTGAAGGGACAAAAAAGCAAGACCTTGCCTTCATCCGGCCTTGTGTTTGTTTACAAATGTAAATGGGGTAGAAGAAACTTGTTGGGAAAGGAGTAGGGTTAGGCTGGAGGAAATTTTGCTTGATAATCTATATTAGGAAGAAAACCTCAGGGGAAAACACAGATCTGAGTAACAGCTTTTGGAGCCCTAGGACTCGGGGTAGAAGAGGGCTGGGTCTTCCCCCAGGAAGTGTGTGTGACAACTAAGAACAGCTGAAACCAGACCATCCTAACGTCAGAGAGAGGTAAGGGCATGAGACCCACAGCATTCCACCAGCGTTAGTCCCATGGGGGATAAACTCCTAATATTAGGCAGAGGAGCTTTCAGTATATGAATCACTTGGAACAGAGCCCACAGTCGGGTCAGAGGGCAGGGCCATTCCAGGACAGAGTCACTAACAGAGTCTGATGAGCTAAGTACAAAACTAAGGGTAAGTCTTTAGGAGGTTTTATAGTAATTGACCAAATAATTTTATTTCTGTTGAAGCTGAAAAAAAAATTTGAAGGAGGACTTGTAGTTTGCATATCTTTTTTTTCCATTTCATTTTTCTATTCATTTTCATTAAATTTCTGGGACAAATTGGAGATAAAAGAATACAGGTCTTTCACTGGAGATAATTTGAGAAGCACCAATTAAAGGGGCCAGTAGGGTGTCCTATGGGGTAGATGGTGAGTTAATAAGCAGTCTGGATGAGGGGAGCTCAGTGAAGGCCAGGCACCCAGGGAAGGCTTCCTGGAGAAGGGACTCAAGTCGGCCTTTGGGGGATAGGCAAGATATTGACAAATGGAGAGGACCCTCAGGTCACCCCTACAACGGTATAGGAGTAGGTCTTGGTATAGACGTGTTTGCAGGCTGCTTCTAGTGTGTATGCATTTTGTTTCTTTGTCACAGGCTAACTTCTCTTTCTCACATTCTCTCCATCCTCTTCCTCCTCTCTGTGGGGATGGCACAGGAGGTGAGTAAACCGAACATCTGCTCTCTGTCTCAGGAGCAACAGAGACCACCCGGGAATACACTGGGGATCTGTATCTGCACCCTACCATGTCTATGAGGCCACCTTTTCTAATCAGATGGATGCTAGGACAGAAGGAAACAATGGGGGGCTCTTCACAGCTCCCTACACAGGACTACGAGGCCCTGCAGCAAAGGTGCCTGAGAGTCGGCGGCCTCTTTGAAGACCCCAGCTTCCCGGCCACCCTGAGATCCATTGGCAGGGGGCCCCTGCTGAAGAAACTGCCTCCGGGCCTACAGTGGAAGAGACCTTGGGTAAGAGGACAGGAAGGGGGCTTCAGCACAACCAACACAAAATGCGTGGACCCAGGCCTCCCTCCTGTGGGCTCAGGGCTTTCAGACACCCTGTCTTACTCTCTGTCATTGATCCCCATGTGAAGGAAACTGGGTAAGTCTTCACTTCCCCAACCTTTCCAGAGAAAACCAGGGGTGATCCTGAGAGGCATCTAAAATGTAGCTCTCCCTCATGCCAGAAATACGCAGAGCAGCTGCAACCAAAAATATATCAAGGTACTGTTTAGCTGCATTGCGATGGCAAGGCAACCTGAGTCACTGCCAATACCACCTGCCAGAGGGACAAATTTTAACATATCACTCTCCTCCCCCCAAATCAGGCTCATGAAACATGTAAATTCAGAAGCTATTAATCACTTTATAAAAGTATTCTTCACTTTATAAATACATCAACAATTCCTTTAAAAGGCAACTTTTCAATGTATTCAAAAGCAATTCATCTCCCCCAACCTTGATTTACACGAAAGATTCTGGAACGTAGTGAGCAGAGTGAAGTCACCTGTGTTACACGTCTTTCCCTTTTCTGCTCCCTAATCATCACCAAAGCCTGCCGCTCCAGACTTATTAAATCCCTACTATGTGTAAGATTCCCCAGGGTACCTCCTAAACTAGAGAACAACCACAATTCTATTTCTCCCAGAAATCTTGGGAACTGCTGACATAGAGTTTGTCACACACCTGACCTTGGAGGAACCATGCCCATACAAAGACTCATGGATTTATTGCTTGCCATGGAGCAGAGACAACCCCCAGTGACCCCACCCCCACCCCAGGCTGTATCTCAGTATGGAAAGCCAAAGAGGCCATTATAATGGGGGTTGGGGTGGAAAAGAGGAGTAGGGGGAGAATAAGAATGGGAAGATCTCCGGGAAAACTGAGAATGCCCTCTAAATGAATTGCTTCCATTTTTAACAGAAACTCCAAGAAAAGACATTTTTGGTGCTAGTGCTATTTATCAATATCTAGGTTCTCTAGGGCTCTGATTTACTTGAGCTTCAGGAAGGAATGTGAAATACAATGGGGCAGAATCTGCAGGCCAGATTTTTTGTTATAGCCCTGATTTTCCATATATTTTATGCCTATGTCCCCATAAGTACAGTTTGGGGGGTGTGGGACCCTATGGTCACTGTAGATCCAGAGCAGCTTCTTGGTCAGAAAGACAATTCCATCTGTTCCTCAGGAACTGCACAGCAATCCCCAGTTCTATGCTCCTGAGGCCAAAAGGCTGGATCTGTGCCAGGGATTGGTAGGTAAGTCTGCACAGCCCCTGGGGACACATACCTGGTACCTGTGAGCCTGGCCTGGCCAAGGCAGAGTGGGGTGGGAAAGAGGGGAATCGCGAGATCCCAGCATGGGGGAATGGCCACCCTGAACTCTATCTTGCATGCTGTGTGCTTTGCTGGGAACATGATAACAATGGGTCCTGTGAGGATGCATGGGAATTGTCAAAACCTGCCTAATGAGAATCCTCGTTACCAGTTTATAGGTCTATGTTTGGTCTTGGGAAAAATGTGCTCACTTCTACTTTAGTTCTGGTAATGAGTCTTCTTAGCACACCAGTCACTTAGACACCCCAGAATAGGGTCCAAGAAAGCGTGTTCTCAACCCAACTTTCTTCTCAGAGTAATAGAAATAACCCTTGACTGTGAGGGAAGGCTCAAAAAGTGATACCCATTTCACAGACGGGGAGATGGAGTCCAGAGGGTTGAGGCTTTCCCAGGAAGACATAAATCAGTTATGGGCGCACTTAGAAGTTTGGCTGTGGTTGGGTTCAAGTTCTTGAGGATGGGGTATCCAGGAAGCTAAAAGCTGATCCAGGAACATGGCTCAGTTTTTGGTGTCAAGTCTGGATTCCAGCCAATGTCCTCCCCCTTCAGCATACCCTTCTCCCTCACCCTCTCCCTCCCTGGTATATAATTCCCTTTTCCTAAATGAGGTTATAAGGCCAGAGAGGATAGCAATGAGAGCAGGCATTTCTTAAATGCAATAAATCCTCAGTAGATTCATGCAGACACTTGTAGAATGTGCATGCGTGTACAGTACACCCATGGAGATACTGTGTGCTGTCTGACTTAGGTGACTGCTGGCTCTTGGCTGCTTTGCAAGCTCTGACTTTGCACCAGGACATCCTAAGGCGGGTCGTTCCCCTGAATCAGAGTTTCACTGAGAAGTACGCTGGCATCTTCCAGTTCTGGGTGAGAGCCCTCCTGGTGCCCCAGCCTAGAGGTGGGCATAGGAAAGAAGGTTCTTGGAAGAACCTTCTCTGTCTGCTGGACTGACAATCTTCCATGGCAATCTTCACTCACCAGTGGGCACTCTCTCCTCCCAGTTCTGGCGTTTTGGGAAGTGGGTTCCTGTGGTGATAGATGACCGACTACCTGTGAACGAGGCAGGCCAGCTGGTCTTTGTCTCTTCCACCTCCAAGAACTTGTTCTGGGGAGCTCTTCTGGAAAAGGCCTATGCTAAGTAAGACAACCACAAGAAATATTTTCCCTCTCCTCTCCTCTCCTCCCCTCCCCTCCCCTTTCTTCCCTTCCCCACTCCCTGTCTCTCTGTCTCTCTGAGCAATGTTGAAAGAGGGCAAGAGGAGGCAGGTAAAGTTTATGACGTGGGATGCTGAGGCATCCCTCAGCAAATATGGAAGTGATATACCCAGAGTCTTTTATGAAGGGGTCACCCCATCTGAACAAATGTTCAGGAATTTTGCCTTCCCTAATGCATGGAGTTGTTAACAGGAATAGGAACTCTGAGCATGTACTTTCGCCTTCGCCCCTGGGATGGAAGGAAGGGGTTGAAGACACATGCCCAGAGAATAACGAAGCAAGGGGTTCATGAGAGCCGTTTGGACCACCCCAGATTGCAGTAGAAATGCCCCTTCCCTCTCCTCACATGTGTATTCCTCCCTCGGGCAGGCTCTCTGGCTCCTATGAAGACTTGCAGCGTGGACAGGTGTCTGATGCCCTTTTGGATTTCACTGGAGGGGTGATAGTGACCATCAAACTGGCAGAAGCCCCTCAAAACCTCTGGGACGTTCTAACCCAAGCCACCTACAGCAGAACTCTCATTGGCTGCCAGACACACACCGGGGTGAGCCCGGGCTGTGCACTGGCAGGATTTCCTCATCCCCTGCTGCCCTCCTTTCCATCCATCAGTTGCTGCTCGCATGTTGGTGTGGGTCCCTGGACTTCCACAATTCCTGCACCTACAATCCTGATGTTCAGACCGCAGCAGCCTCAGGGCAGGGAATTGTAGAATAGATAGTACACAGAGAAGGGAGCTGACAAGTATCAACCACATGTGTGGTATTTACCAGCATAGCTACTCTTGAGTCTAATTGAATGACAACCAAGAACATGGAACTGGAGTAGGGAGTCCTGGTTGAGCTTTGCCTCCTCCGGTGACCATTGTGTCATCTCACATGGTGATTTAGTGGCTCTGAATCTGAGTGTGTCCTCTGTAAAATGGGGTTATAATCACTGTAAAGCAGCATCCCAACTTAAAGGCTCAAATGAGACTGTGGGTGATGAAGAGCTAAGAAAACTGCAAAGTAACACAGTGCAGCACGGGTCTTTCCCGCCCCCTCCTCGTAGCCCCTTGCTCTAGCCGAACAGGTCCCCATACTCCCGGGTAAGCTATACACTGCAGAGGACCGACACCTGCCTTCTTGTCTCGACAGAATGAGAGGGTGCTGGAGAACGGGCTGGTGGATGGTCATGCCTATACGCTCATAGGAACTCGGAAGGTGGGTGAAACCATGCCCCTCTGTGTCCTTTCAGGCTCTCCCTTTCTCCCAGGGCTTCTTGCCAAGGTCTGGGGTCACCTTGGTGAATGTTATTATCTGTGCCCAGCCTGGGTGGATGGGGGTGGGGTAGATTCTCTGGCGGGTCCTCCAGAGCCTACCAAAGCAGGTAGTGGGCTTCCCCTACCTCTGTGCCTATTTTCTGGGGTGAAGTGGTAACCAGCTTTGTCACTGTCACTGCACCATCCCTCTCTTCCCACAGGAAAGCCCCAGCCAATCGGCCATCTATCCCTGCTGTGCCTCACAACCCTTCCTTGAACTTCACTTCACTCTGGGCTGCCCATGATAGCCGTTATTACTGGATCTTCCCCATAAATTCTTGCTTCTTTCTCACTTGCTCCTTTTCAACAATCTCCCAGTTTCCTTCTATTGCTATTCACCTTTCTGAGCTTTACTAAGCATTGACAGAAAGATGAATCAGACAGGGACCTTACCTGCAAAGAGCTTATAGTCAAGAACGAAGACAAACCATATGTGAAAATAATAAGGAAGAAAGTAGAAAGTGAGAGAAGAAAGCATAGATGAAAGGCTTTACAGGTTTAGATGAACAAGCGAAGACATTCACCTGGTTGGGTGGGAGTGGAGTCAGAAAAGACTTTATAGAGGAGGTGACATGAAACTGGTCCTTGAAAGATGGGTAGATTTGTATGAGGAAAGAAAGAATTCCTGGCAGAGGCAGCAGCATGCACAAAGTATGGATAAGAAATCAGTAGATTCAGTCTTAAAGAACCCCCGATATTCTCTAGAAAGCTTGACTTGCCCAAAGTCTTCCAATTCCCTTTAATTTTGTTTCAAATTTCTTGAACTCAACTCATACCTGGCTTCTTCTACCTAGATCTCCATCAATCATGTTTGTGTGTGTACCAAGAACTTTTAACTTATTTTCATATTTATTTAGCAAAATTTATAATTTGTTAATATGTGTTTATATATTTTGTTTTATATTTATTTAAGAATATTTAACAAAATTTAGCACTTGCAATGTGCTAACTACTGTCCTAACTGCTTTATAAATGTTAACTCACTTATTCCCTACAACAACCCATGAGTAGGTGTATTAGTGCCCTGGGGTGGCCATAACCAACTACCACAAATTGTGTGGCTTAAACAACAGAAATATATTCTTTCACAGCTCTGGAGGCCAGAGTCTGACATCAAGATGTTAGTAGGGCCTCACTCCCCACAAAATGTTTAGGGGAGAATCCTTCCTTGCCTCTTACAACTACTGGCTCCCAGCATTCCTTGTCTTGGAAGGCATAGCTCCAACCTTGGCCTCCATCTTGGCCTTCTCCTCTGTGACTTCTTCCCTTCTTTTCTTGTTGTTGGATTTAAGACCCACCCTAATCCAAGACTATTTCCTCTCAAGATTTTTAACTTCATTGCATCTGCAAAGACCTTGTTTTTTTTACAAATAGGATCACATTGACAGGTTCTGGGGTAGACGTGTCTTTTGGGGGGCACCATTCAATGCTTTATAGCAGATGCGACTATTAGCTTCATTTTACAGATCAGGATATAATCCCGGAGAGGTTAAGCAACTTGCCCTAGGTCTCACGGCTACTAAGTGGCAAAGTCATTTTCTCCTCTACCAGTCTCAGGGCCTTTGAGCTCCCGTTTCAAGGTCTCATCTGCAAGTATGAATGTCACCCAGATACCTGTGACATTTGAAGTTGGCACTCAGCCCACCCCACCTGAACTGCTTCTCCTTTTGTGCAGGTGACCTGCAAACATGGACCTGAATATCTAGTCAAGCTGCGGAACCCCTGGGGGCATGTGGAATGGAAAGGAGACTGGAGTGACAGGTGAACTTCCTAGACGGGCTGGGAGGGGTGAAGAAGGCGTAGGTGAAGCCCGCCAAGGAAGGTGCCAACCTGCACACAAATTCAAAGGTGTTCTTTCTTTGGCTTCAGGCTGGATCAGGAAAGCTTTCAGATTGTGAAGGTCAATCTCTCACATTTATAAAATGTTTAATGATAGGTAGATTGTTTTCTCTTTCATTATAGTAATTAAAGTTAATGTTTATTGAGAGCTTGCCAGCACTGTGCTAAGTCCTATTATCTCATTTAATCTTCCAAACAATGCTGTTATAAGGTAGGTAGTTTTATTCCCATTTTACTGGTGAGGGAGCTGATGCTTAGGTTAAGTGAATTACTTAAGGTCTCACAGCATGGCTCAGTGTACATTGTGGCTGTCTAGTCCAGTGTTGTTTCCGAGGCATCGTTCAGGGCACTTGGGCTTTTTGAGTCAGAGGTACCCAGGTCCAGGTTGGTCCCTATACCCTGGTTACATCGAGTGACCTCTGGGCATGCTGATTAAATGCCTACATTTACATTGTTCCTGCCTAAAGACAACGCTAAAGGGATGTGGGCTTTACAAACTAGAGATTTTGCTGTAGTCAGAAAGCAAGACCAGGTGATAAAGTCCTTCTTCTTGCTATGAAGATTATAATACTTGACTCTGCATAACACTTTAAAGTACAGAAACATGTCCACATATCCACTATCACATAATAATTTTTATAGATGAAGAAATGAAGGCTCAGAAAAATAAGTTGAATTCTACTCCCCATAAAATGTGCTACACTAGATTTGTTATATGTTAAAGAGAATTGTCAGAAGAACTGGATCTATGTGGGAAAAAGGCATATATATATAAATTTTAAAGTGTTACCAAAATATAGAATCATGACAATGTTGGTTTTGGTTTGTTTCATGGAAGAACAAGTACTTATATTAAAGATAGATGATGGATTTAATTAGTTTTGTTATTGTGTGATCTTGGGCAAGGTTTTCATTTCTGAGCCAGAGGTGTGGTGAGGATTAAATAAAATGATAGGCTTTTATTTCACAGTGTCTAATCAGCTGTTAATCTCATCTAGTATATTTTTCATTTTAGATATTATATTTTCTAATTCTAGAGATTGCATTTGATAATATCTTCTACTTCTCCCATTATGTCCATAGTTCCCTCTATAACCTTGAGACTATGGAACATATAATAGCTTTTTAAATGTCTTTATTTGCTAATTCCATCATCTCTCTCATTTCTGTCTGTTTCAACTGTTTTTATTCCTGGTCACGGACCACGTTTTCTACTGTTTCACATGCCTAGTCACTTTTTATTGGATGCTGGACATTGTAAATTTCATTTTCTGAGTGCTGAATTTTGCTGCATTCCTTTAAAGAACATTGGGCTTTTTCTGACAGCTAGTTAAGTTGCCTAGGGATTATTTTTGACACTTTGAAGTTTTGTTTTAAAGAACTTTGGGGACAGATAAAGGGAAATCTTTATTTCAGAGATAAATTGACCCCACTATTAAGGTGTTGACCCTCTGGGATCTCTTCTAAAGACCCCATGTATGCAACAAGGTCTTTCAACTCTGGCTGCTGGGAATTCAAAGGATTCCCAGCCCTGTGTCAGCTCTGAGAATTATTCTGCATATAGTCCACAGTCTAATGAGGTTTTACTTTATGTATGCACAGATTTGATTTCAGCCAAAGATTCAAGGGAACCCCTATGGAGCTCTCTGGAGGTCCTTTATATAGCCCTCTCCTCTCAGGCACTTTCCCCAGCAATTTCTAGCTGCCTTGACCACTCTGAACTCCAGACTCTGTCTCTTGCACTCAGTAAGACTAGGTTCTTTTTGGATTTCACGTCCCTGCACCACTGCCCAGGGAATTACTTTCAGGTGATGTCAGGGCTCACCTCAGTTGTTTCCCGCCTATCTGGGTCACAGTCCTGTGCTGCCTGCTGTCTAATGTCTGAAAACAGATGTTTCTTATATTTTGTCCCATTTTTAGTTTATGATGTGAAAGTGACACAGGAAAGCCTTACTCCTTCAGGGCCACAAACAGAAGTCCAAAATGATGGGCTTTGAAAATAAGTAATTCCAATGTAGGTTCAAATGCTAGTTCTGACACTGAATAGCTTTATGACTTCAAGTAAGTAAATTAATTTCTTTTAACCTCAGTTTCCTAATCTCTAAAATGGCAACAAAAAAACCTTACCTTACAAAGTTGTTGTTAGCCTTAAATGAAATAAAGTATGTCAAGAGCCCAGCCCAGAACTTGGCTCATAGCGAGTGATGAATTAATGTTACATGTTGCTTTTTATATTACAGGATGTGAGATTTAGTTGTCTGCAAAGCAGCATGAAGATGAGAATAAATAACAACACTATAGAGCATTTACTAAAGAATTTCTCACACGTCCTGCACAGCCCCTTCATTCCCCATGGAAACATTTCTTTTCTGTTTTCAGCTCACGTACCTGGGAGTTACTGTGCCCCAAGGAGAAGATTGTGCTGCTGAGAAAAGATGATGATGGAGAATTTTGGTATTTGACTCAGGGACTTGGGACAAATGCCCTGGCTTACATTTGGTCATCCAACCAGCAAAGATTTATTGGGTGCCTTACGTATGCCAATCATCTCTTATGCAGAAATCAAGAAGATGCTTTAGGTGCTCAGAGTCGAGCAGGGCAAATAGCCCCTGCAAATGATCAGTCACAGTCTGTGTGACGAGGTGGGTGACCACTGGCGTGGAGCTCAGTGGGCGCTCAGAGCAGAGCGTGGGGGTGACCGCATCCTCTCTGACTTCCACTCTGCTGTCGTATCCCTCAGTACATGCAATCCCAAGGCTGTGCCTTTCCTGGCCTAAGAAGGAAGTAAGGAAAGAAGGGACTACAAAGTCTTGCCAAATTGTAAGCCACCTTAGCTGCGCCCTCCAGAGCAAAATAGCATTACTCCCACCCACTCCAAAGCCATTCTCCTCTTATTATAAAATGTCATCCAGATGCCCTGAGCTGGTGCTGCTTCTGGGTGTCTGACATGAGGCCCACCTCTCCCCCTTTCCCTTTGCTTTTCACCCTTACTGTCAACTTCCGCCCTTGTTCCCATGGACTTCTCCTTTCCATTACCCATCCTTTCCAGACTGCTGTGGCCTTCTCTCTTTTGACGTGATCACTGAACTCAAGATCCCTGAAAATACTATTATTTTCACTTTACAGATAAATAAACTGAGCATCACAGTCCAAACAGCATGCCTTGATTGCAAAGTTAGCAAGTAGGGGTGAAGATTTGTTATTAGTTAATGACTGAGAACTGATTTGTGCAATTCTTGTTGAACATCTATAATCAACTGACGAATTATGAGTGTCTCGATTCATCTTTATCACTGCAACCAGCAAAATAGAAACATTCCCACGCAGCCGTTGTACAAGGCTGTCTCTAGCCACAGGGAGGGGTGCCTCGGTGGCTCCACCGAGCTGTGATGGAGCCTTGCACTGGTCTAGCCAGCCCCACTGACACGCTCAGCTCTGCACACAGACATGGTGGATGGGGGGGGGGGGCTGGGATGCCCACTGCTTAGTTCCAGCCTCTGCTTTGGTCCTGATAATGAGACATCATCTCATTCGTCTCTTTGTGCTGTTCCCTCTTTCTCTCTACAGGATGACACTCAGGGACTTTAAAGTACATTTCAGGCTTCTGGTCATCTGTAAACTGACCCCAGGCCTGCTGAGTCAGGAGGTGGGCCAGAAGTGGTCCTACACCATGCAGGAGGGGAGATGGGAGAAGGGGACCACAGCTGGTGGTCCGAGGAGGTCACCCCAAGGTGAGCATATGCACAGGAGCCAGGGTTCTTGGGTTTAAAGTGGCAGCTTTTCCGGATAAGTGTGGGGATGCAGGCAGAGCCACTGTGGATGGTTGTGTAGCTTGGGCCTGCAAAAGGCATCCAGTTGAGGGGTAAGGGGCTCTGTTGGCTAAGCTATTCGCTCTGGCCCTGGGCTGTGTCCACTGAGAAGATGGGGCATCTTTGGTCCTAATTTACACAAAGGCATGGAAATCTCAGTCAAGCTGCCAGCCTTTCAAGGCTGTGTCTTTCCAGAGGGTACTTTTTTCTTATTAGTACCAGGGAGCCACAGGCACATGTGCAGGGTAAAAGGATGGAATAAATCTTGCTTTGGGGTGGGGACAAGATGATCGATATGCTGAAATAAACACCCCTTAACAGGCAGGACTGAAATAGTAATGATATCATATGTATCAGGCCCTTCTTACCTAGAGTTTAGTAGGGATCAAGGATTCCCAGGTCATCAGTTATAGGAGACAAATGTGTCTCAGTTCTCAAAATGGAAGGTTCGGTGACTATCTTTTCCTTCACAATGGAGGTACTGAGGAACCCCTTTGGAAAGAAAGACTTGTGGAATATGATCTCAGAGGGCTTGGGTGGCCTGAGCTCTGGTGTCTCCCTCCCCCCGCAGTGTTCATCCCAAAGCATGAAGCTGCCCTAAGCTAAGGCTCGGTTCCCTTAAAATGCAGATTCCCTTGGGACCAGGGGCACATTCTCCTCAGTTAGTTAATACAGTCGTTTACTTGGGCAGCAAACATTTATGGGGCACAAAGTCTGTGCCGGGCACTGTGCTGGGCACAGGGGCTACAGCTCTGAGAATAGTGTGTGTCTGTAGGAGAACCTGGGGGTAATAGAGGTGAGACGGGAGTCAGGATAGAGCTGAAGCCAAAGAGACCCGACTCTGTCCAGATGGACCTCCAGGTGGGGATTCTGGGAGGGGTGCCCTGGGTCTGTGCACCTCTCAGTGACTTTAGGGGGGCAACACGCCAGGGCAGCCGAGGAGCTGTTTCCCCTTGTTTTGTTCTGCCCCAGACACCTTTTGGAAAAACCCGCAATTCCTGCTGTCTGTCTGGAGGCCCCAGGAGGGCAGGATGTTTCTGATGCCATGTAGCGTGCTGGTGTCCCTGCTCCAGAAGCCCAGGCACAGGCACCGCAACCAGAAGCCTCACCTTGCCATCGGCTTCTACCTCTTCAGGGTAGGTGGGCCTCTGGGGCACGCAACCTCACATGGGGTCTCCGGGTGTCCTCTTTTTCCTGTTTCCTGTCCTCTTCACCGCCCGCCTCTGTCTACTCACAGGCCTGAATGCAAATCCTGGCTCTGCCCCTTAGGGATGTGTAACCTAGAGCAAGCCACCTCTTTGCACTTGAGCATCAGTTTCTTCATCTGTAAAATGGGGACAATGATATTTAGAGTAAAGGCTCAGGTGGCAGTGCTTCTCCTCTGGCCCGGCACATAGCTGGTGCAATTAATACTGGTTTCCTTTTTCTCTCCCAAAAAGCCAAGGGTGCCTTCCCTCTCCCTTTTTCAGAATTCCTGATGATGATAGATTAAACTGGCACTGACTAGAACAGAAAGTCTTATAGAAAGAGAGGGGGTCTCCGGGTAGAGTCTTCTTTTTAAAAAAATTTTTTTTTAGAAATTTTATTGGCAAACAGTGTGTTTTTCCAGGACCCATCAGCTCCAAGTCAAGTAGTTGTCTTCAATCTAGTTGTGGGGGGGCGGCCGAGTGGCTCAGTTGGTTAAGAGCTCGCTCAAGAGTTTGAGCTCTGAGCAACAACGGTTTGATGCCCAGCCCGAGCTGAGCAGCTGCTGAGCTACCAACAGGTGGCAGGATGGCTCAGCTAAAAAAAAGAAAGAAACAATCTAGTTGTGGAGGTGCAGCTCCATAGCCCATGCGGGGATTGAACCGGCAACCGGTCGCCCCTAGAGTCTTCTTGTTTATCAGCCTCCATTAGAGTATGTGCTTGTGAAAGAGCTGGATTCTCTGCCTAATGAGGTCTCTCTTTTTTTGTTTTTCAGATGAACAAGGTGAGTTCCACACTTGATCAGCTAGCCCTGGTTTGGAGTAGTGTCATAAGTGGCTAAGCCACTGTGAGGTTTGGTGACTGTAGCAACCTTTTGTAACCATCTATGAGAATGTCTGACAATAATGCCAACTGCCTACGTATCTGGAAGTAAAGAGTTTCTGCTGTTCGTTTTTATCCAAGGACCCCAAGAAATCCTTATGCATCTACAGGGAGGTCTCTGGTCCTGATGTAGGAATGATAAATCTTAGAATCCATTAAATCCCTACATAAATACCTAGGGATAATATTGCAGACTGTCACCGCATAGGAAGGCTAATAAATCACAACCTCACCTGAGTTATGAAGCCCATAAGAAAATAGATCTATAACATATGGGACATCAGGAGACCGTGCCACTTCCCTCTTTGGGGATAAGGGACAAAGGATTGGAAAATGGGACAGAAACATGGGCAGAGGACAACAGCTCTGTATTCAGCTGCAGTGACAGCCTGGAGGGATCAGTTAAGAAGGCCTAAGGCATCCCAGCTTCTGAAGGGTGGCAGCTATTATTTTGTTTCCCAAAGAAAGCAGGAGTGAAAAACTTAATTTTCTAAGGTTGGACTAAACAATATAAAAAGATTTTTATAAAGAAACCATTTTGCGTTGGGTGTCTTGAGTTGGTTTTGGTTTTGTACCTCCTGTGGGAACTCCTGAGTGAGTGATCCCAAAGTTGCCTATTAATTTAAAAAGAAAATGTGATTTATATCATGCCTATTTCTAAACAGAATTTGGGTCAACCTACAATAAAATTGTGAACAGAGCAAAACTCTAAGCCAGTTAAAATTTAAAAGGCAAGAAAAATAATATTGGATTGTCAGAAAAGTCATGATGCATTTTTGCAGTGGAAAACATAGAAAAAATACGTCATGACTTTTCCGACAACCCAATTAATGAATGAGGGCGAGGTATGCACTTGATTCTACCAGGAAAACTAAACCTAGGACAGCTAGCATGGCTGATTATAAAGTTTAGTTCTGAGATTCCTGGCAGCCAAGGCAAAGATGGCAATAGAATGATTCCCTAGTTCTCATTGGCTGCTATAAGAAAGCATATGTTATCAAGAGATACATTTTGTTGCTTCAGCCCCGATTGGAATCTGTGAAATATGTCTTTGTGAGGATGTGTAGTGTCTTTGTTAGCAGTTGTTTATGCACTGGAGAGAAGACCTTCCATATGGACCTCCTCTTCCTCCACCGCCCTGAGTGAGAGCAAAGGAAGAGGGAGCAAGAAAGAGAAATAAAAGGGAGACATGAAGAGAGAGAGAATGAATATGCGATAAAACAAAACACACGCCCAGGCAATGTCAGAAGCAGAGCCCGGATGCACGTCTGAGCGCTTGTCCTGTCCCCTTTCCCCACAGTTGCAAGGCTGTGCTCACTGAGATGACTTGGAATGTCCAGTTTATCTCTATGTAGCTGTTGTGATGTAGGTGAGGAGATGGTTGGTGGTCCATCTGTATCTGTGACCTTAATCATGTCATAATCAACCTTGAAACTGTATCACATACATGGAGGCAGCCTCAGGAAATAGTATAAAGAACATGGACATTGGAGCTCAGTTGCCCTGAATTCCAAGCCTGGATGGGATTCTTACCAGCTGGGTGACTGTGGACAAATGACCTAACTCAGAAAGCGCCGGCACACTGATATTTCTCACTTTATTCTGTATACGATGTTGTTTTCAATATAATGGCAAATCAATTGATATGTGTTTACTCAGCACCAAATAGGTTCTAGCAAATGTGCCCACTCCCGACATAATCTGTATTTCTCTCTCTGCTCCTCACCCCTTTCTTCCATCCTCCATGGGGGCAGGTTGGATTTGGCAAATAAGAGGCCACCTTAGTCCTGGCTCTTGGCCAAGAGCCCCAGGCCTGGCCGTAGGCCCTGGGTAATCACCTCAACTGGTGCCCTTCTATCTTCCACCCACAGTTACATGATGACCAGAGGCGACTGCCCCGCGAGTTCTTCTTGGTAAATGAGCCCTTGAGTTTGCCTGAGGCATTTGTCACAGAGAAGGAAGTGAGTCGGGAGCTGTGGCTGGAGCCGGGGACGTACCTCATCGTGCCCTGCACAGCGGAGACCCGCCAGGAGTCAGAGTTCGTCCTCAGAGTTTTCTCCAGGAAGCACATCTTTTAGTAAGGGCGCAGGCCTCTCCCGGAGGTTGGGGTCCACTGGGGCCAGGGTAAGGAGGGTGAGGTGGACATGGCAGAGGACAGGGGCTCTGCGGCCAACACAGAAGCGCGGTAGGGAGAGCAGCAGGGCAGCTCTCTTCATGGAGAACATCCTCCCCTTCTTCCTCCCACTATCCTTCTAGCAACAGAGGTGCAGTCTGCTAGATGCTACAGAAAAAAAGATGAGACAGGCATGGCCCATGCCCTCCAGAAGCTCAAGGTCTGGAAAAGTACATGGACACATGAGCAGTTATTTTTGTTATACGGTGTCTAGGGCAAGCATTTATCTGCACAAAGTGTTAGGAGAGCATCACGGAGGAGCATGTAAGCCAACCTCCCACGGTCCTGGGGAAAGCAGGGGTGGCTTCTGGGAGGTGGTGATTTCTAAGGGATGCACGGGGGGTGGTTCAGATGAGGGGAGGCTGTCATCAACTAGCAGTGTATGCAGGCAAATCAGCATGCACACATCCCAGCCAAACTTAGTGGTTGTTTTGACATGACAGCCCTTCAGTGTTGAGAATCTAGTTGTCATTTTTTTTTCATGTTTTAGCCATCGATTGTTTGACATGATCTGAGGCCTCACTGCTCTGTCAGACTGCTGTGTCTTAAAACATGAGTAGGAATAATTAGATAAGGGTGGGAGAAAGTAAAGTGCATGCCGGACAGAGGGCTCAGTATGAACGCAGTCACGGATGTGAGGAAGAGCACCAGGCATGTGAGGAGTTACACGCAGTGTGCCGTGCCGTGTGGCTGGACTGTACACTTCAAGGAGAAGTGGGGGGTGAGGTGTGACAGCTGGCAGGCCCACAGGTTGTATCAGCTAAGGAATTTGGAAGAGTTCCCAAGGGAGGGAGAAGATTGGCCAAAAGGTTCCCAAGATGATCCCCAAGAAGGAATTCTGCCTTTTGTTTTTCCTCAGTGAAATTGGCAGCAATTCCAGTGTTGTCTTCCCAAAGGTAAGTGGTCAGGTGGAATTCCACATGGCTGGGACTGTTTAAAGCCAGGGTGGTGGGTTTTATCTCTCATGTTTAGGGGTTAGGGGAGGAGGTCCACAGATCCTGCAGACCCTACTCTGAGGCGCACATACTACGTTATCTGTTGTGCCCTAAGAGTCCCCAGGTTCTTTTGTTTTTGCACCAAGAGAACTGCACTTCTGGTCAGGTCCTTGTCCTCCAGGGCCCAGAGCCCCAGGTACATGAGTTATACCTTTACTTCCTTCTTCTTCTCTTTACCTGACATTTCTTCTGCCCAGTCACTGTTTGCTACTTCCCCGAAGGTGGCAAGAATAGGGGAAGAAAGGGATGGGTGAATCCTGTGGTAGAACATTGAAGATGGTGCTCAAGGTCAAACCTAGATTTCAGGGGCCTGGGATCTATGAAACGTGAGTGTGTGCACGAGAGTCCATGTATTCAGACGAATGACTAAGTCTTTCTATGTGTCTATTCCTACAGGAAATAGTAGACCTGACTGAAGGGCAGGATGAATCCTTCACCAAACTCTTTGAACAGGTAAGTTGACCAGGTGTGGTAACCAGAGGTGGGCGGAGTAGGGTACAAAGTGGAGCATATAATTCCATGGATGATGTGTTCGCATCTGCCTGGTGACCCTGTATATAAACTGTGATTTAAGGCTACCTATTTGTCAAACTGCCACTTTCTATTCAAGTCTTCAAGTTTTTAGATAAATGAGTGGAGCTATTGTCTTTAGAAGGCTCCTGTAAAATGCATATCTGTTCTTGGAAGCTATGTTGATTAGTTGTAGGGAAACCATATTAATCTTTAATCCCTGAGAAAATGGAATATAGCAGAGTCAGGAGTCAGTATTGGGAGTGTGGGGGACATGGCAATGATAAGCCCATTAAGGGAAGCCCAGGGGAAAGACCCCTTGGGTGGTTTCCTAGAGCGGGGGGCTGGTAAGAAAGTCTGGAAAGGAGGAGGGCCCTGGGTTATACACTTGGTCCCCTTGAGTTCTTTCCTTGAGCTGATTTAGATCAGGAGGCTAGCAGGGTCACTCTGTCCCCAACCTGCAGGACAATAAATCCATTTAGAAATAAAGGGAGAAATATGTTGGGAATCTTAGTGATGTCATTAAAACTGGAAGAGCATGAGCCCCTTGTTTTAGCCACACTCTGGATTTCATTCACACCTTGCCTGCCCTCCCGTGTTCACCCCTGGTAGTTTGCTCAATGTCGCCAGAGAGGATATGTCAGAATCTCACCTGTGTTGTTTATTAAAGTTTTTCTCCTTACCAGGGGTTTCCAAATATTTTTTGCTGCAGTCCTCTTATCAAGTGAAATTTCATAGAGAATCACAATACCTATGAAAGAGATATTATGTATATTATGAATATATATCCATTTTATAAGTTCAAATTTGTGATACTTGTATTTCATTAATACATTTTCAAGTTAAATTTCGTGTAGAGGGTTGCTTCTGACAAATCTAAAATTGAAATCTGGAGTCTTGGCTGAGGATATTGTATTAAGAATAAAATTGAAACCAAATTGTTTGCTCAACTTCTGAAGCATCTCTATAGACCCCAGTGTGAGAGTCACTGCTCTCTTTTAGTCTACTTCTTAAGAGTCCTGCCCTGCTGGGGTGTCTGCACTTGGCACCCAGTTAAAAACTATTTTAACAGTTTTCATAAAAGTGCAGATTTAATTGCAAGACTAGTCACATTCCTTCTGTGCAACATAATGATGTCACTTATCCTGCCCAGAAATGGCATATGTGCTGTGCTGAGCAGGTGCTGGAGAGCCCCCTTTAGCGGTGGCCCCTTTGCATCTAACAAGCCTCTGGTGATGACGATTTTCTCCTGTCTCTCTGCTTCCACTCCAGTATCCAGAAATAAATGCAGCTCAACTGCAGGAGATCCTGAACCACATGACCTGGTCCAGTGAGTATTTCAGAGTTACTCTATAGGACTCAGGGGACACAGCTGTTCTAAACTCTGGGTCTGTTTCTCTTTCTTCTGGTGGGACATGTGAATTACTGTGTGCTGGTCCCCTGAGCAGCAGTGTGTTACACCAGGGTGGGTCATGTGGTCTGACAAGGCAGTAAGAGAATTTGTGCAGCTTGGAAAATTGTTTTTCTTTCTCTCTTTCTTTCTCTCTTTCTCTCTCTCTCTCTCTCTCTCTCTCTCTCTCTCTCTCTCTCTCTCTTTCTTTCTTTCTTTCTTTCNTCTCTCTCTCTCTCTCTCTCTCTCTCTCTCTCTCTCTCTCTCTTTCTTTCTTTCTTTCTTTCTTAGTTTGAGCATGTAGAGGCATATGGGGGTGAGAATGAAGATTTCTGTTATTTTGCTAGTTTGAGAATAGCTGAGTACTTCTTTCATGATGCATAAATTCCATGTGGAAGAACTGTACCTATTTCCTCAACTTGGCAAATAAATATTAAGTATTGAGTAGCCACCAGGGAGCCCTCTGATGAACTCATGTTTAAATTGATCAACCTACAAATATCTGGAAGGAGAAAGCACATCACCTAGGGGGACTGCAAATGAGTGGTGTGGATGCCTTCAGATGAAACTTGGGACGAATTATTAAGAAAGTTTAAATCCATGTAGAAATATTTTATAAGTATACCTTGAATGAAAAGTACATGGTTTCTCCAGGGAGGAAAATGAATTTCAAAATGAAAAAAGTGAACAGATTAATTAAAAGATATTTGCTACCTAAGATATGTAATTGCTTCTCCTTTATATGAAGCCAAGGCTTCAAACCCAAATAAGTAAGTTACAGTCCAGGCTATGGTTTAACTGAGGTCTTGAAATAATTTCCAGATGGTTTCTCAAAGCCAAATTTGAGTATTGCAAAAGAACCAGAAGAAGAGACTCCAGAAATTATAAAATATAAGTGTCCTCCCTCTGTCTCATCTCCCCCCAAAATTCTAGGGAAATTATCTAGAAAAGATGGCTTGTGCACACTTAAAATTTTTTAAATGCCTTGATTAAAAGTATGCAAAATGGTTTCAAAAAAATGTATGGACAAATTGCTCTCATTTAGTCCTCTGAGAGGGGTTCTGGATTGATAGATCAGGGATTTTGGTGAAATATTTGGTTGAGTCTCCAATGATAAGTGATGAAATGTAGGTTGGAAAGTAGCAATATAAGATGTATTAATAAGTCTTATCACTATTCCCAAGCGTTATATCAACATAAAACTAGAGGGATAATTCTGTGTTACAGATGAGAGTCTAAATGTTTAGATGAGAGTCTTTGGATTCTGCCCTTGGTTCCCTTTCACTTACTCAACTTTTATCAATGGTTCAGAAGAAGACATGGAAGGTAGGTTTATCAGCTGTGCAGATGGCACAGTGCTGGGAGGAATCATTATCATAGACAGCAGACTTGAAATTCAGAATGTTCACTACAAGCTGTGCCCAAACCAAAATGATGAAATAGAATCAGGATGATAATTTAAAACTTCCATTTTGTTATTTTTTAAAAAAAAATTGGTTGCACACATTCCTAATAATAGAGGCCTCATTTTTGTGGCAGTTAATGTGAAAGATATCTGGTTAATTTAGTTGACCTCAAGCTTAACAGGAGCTAATAGTTTTAAATTGCTGCCAAATAAGCTAATCCAGATTCAGGCTGCATTTAGTGGGAGCATGTAGGTTTGTGTTTTTGAAATTGCATTCCAAGAAACATTAGAAACCAAGAGTTTTTAGTAAGTGTTCCATGAAATATAATAGAAGGGGTTAGGTTCTGTGGTCAATTGTGCTTCGGAAATTCTGTGTTAAACAAAATTTCATTGTTAGCTCCTTAGTGCCTATTATATACTAAGGTGCATGATTAATGGAGAAAAGCATCTACAGATATAAAGCATGTCAAGTTTGTTTGAACTTAAAAGCCCTTTCTCTGAAGAATGTCTTCCTTGGAACATAATTTGGAAAATGCAGACTGAAAATTTTGCAAGTGATAGACCCGCTGTACTCTGCTTAATCAAATTGCATCTGAAGGAGTGTGTTCCAGGCTTGGTAGCACATTTTAGAGAGATGCTGGCAAAGTGTAGGGTCTAGAAGAGGGTGATGAGGGTTTAGAAACCTCATCGTCTGGGGAACAGTTGGAGAAATGTTGAGAGGGGGCAAATACCCACTGATACCTCTTATGGAGGCAGAAGTAGGACTAGTGAGTGAATTTTACAGAAGATTTCTTTGGAATTAACGTAAGAGTTTCTCCTGAATGGAGCTATCCATCCATGTGAAAAAGTGAGCACCCATAATTGACGGACCATCTGTCAAGATATCTGAGGAAAGCATCCCCTAAACAGGTGAGAGCTTGAACAAGCTGGGAGCCTGTAACTATGATCCTGGCCCTCACTGGGTATTCAGGGCCATCATTCTTCTGACCCATTATGTAAACAAAGCCAGGCTGCTATTGGGTTCTCCTGTGGTTTTACTCTGCTCCTTCTGTGCAGAGATCACCACCAAGCCCTCTCTCTCTCTCTCTCTCTCTCTCTCTCTCTCTCTCTCTCTCTCTCTCTCTCTCTTTCTCTTTCTCTTTCTCTCTTCTGCTCTCACTCTTTACTCCTTCCATAAATGATGGTTATTGGAACCTGTGGCTGGCCTAGGCAGCCCTGTCTGGTCCTGTTCAGAAAAGGGCCATGCCATGCCATCCTGGGCTAGCCCCCATCCAGACTCTTTCTGTTCCTCTGCAGATCTGGGGCACGCAAAGCCCCTTTTCAGCCGCGATGCCTGCCAGGGGATCCTGGCCCTACTGGACGTATCTTTTCTGGTTTGTGGGAAGATGCATGCTGCTGATTGAGAGCTTTGCCTTGAAGCCAGGCTGCCTGGGTTTGAATCCTAACCCCAGCGCTTACTAGTTGAGTTGTCTTGGGCAAGTCACTTAGCCTCATGAGTGCCGCCTGGTCCCCATCTGCAGCTTAGAGATGGTATTCAAGCCTAGTCCATAGGATCAGTGTGAAAATGCAAATGGGATAAGCTATGTAAAGTGCTTAGGACATAACTGTCCTAGAATAAAGAATCAATATTAGCTATTAATGACAGTGGTCTTATTTCCTGACAGTGAGAACGAGGCAGCTGCAGGGTGGTAGGTAGCAACAATTCTCCAGGTTTTCAAGAAGCTTTAACAAGAGCTTCAGGGTCCTAAGTTTTGCATTTGGTGACCAGGCAGCGGCTATCCCCATGTACAAGTCAGAAAACTGGAGCACAGGAAACTTAACAACATGCCATGAACTCAGCTCTCCTGGATCTCAGGCCTGTGATTTTTCTAGCAAACCCTCTGCATTTCTAAATGGACAATTTAAAGTTTGGTTATCCATACTACAGATAGGCATATAGAATGGGCAGTGTGTGTGGGGTGCGGGTGGGAATGGGGTTGTTGCAAATATAAAAAACAGTCTTTGCAGAAGCTTTGCAGAGGGCGTGGACAGTGGGAGATGGTAGTCGGGTGTACAGGCTTTGGAGCAGGCCCCAGCCTCAGCATCAGCTATATGAACTTGGACAAGTTCATACTCTCTAAGCCCTCATTTCATCATCCATAAGTTAGCATCCATGAGGAGTTCATACTTAACTCAGAAAATGAAGTAACATAGGTGACGTGAGTAACTCAGTGCTAGGCCCACTGAAAGGGCTCAAACAGAGTTGGCACGTGGTAGTATTTTGACCCCCATCTCTCTGATGCGAGGATATTGGCACATGGTCAACAAGGCCAACCCTTAAGCTTTTAACTTTTCATTAAATGAATATAAGAGGCATCCTTAGCCACCTGTGCTTGACTCCTTTCCTAAGATGGTTTTAACAATAATGAAAAGAATTGTTTTTTTAATTTAAAGCACATCAAATTGGCCATGCCAAAATATCCTGCTTCACTCAGTGGGAGCGACTGTCATCACCCTCCTCAGCACCATCAGCAGCACTTCTCCCCGTGCTGCTGTGTTCTGTCTTGTTCTATCCTTTCCTAGCAAGGGCGTGGTAGTCCTGGGCTCTGGGCTGGACTGACCAGCCAGGGGAGGCCAACTCGGGATATCTGACATTGAATGGGACTGTCCACAAATTGCACACTGCTGTGGGGAGGGCCACTTGCTGCCTCCAGAGCTGTAAATGAAACGTCCCTGCCAGCTTTGACCTTAACTGTGTTATCAGCTTAATGAGTCAGGTACCTTGTGCATCCAGGAATTCAGGGATCTGTGGAAGCAGCTGATGCTCTACCAGGTAAAAACAAGTCTTGAGCACGCCTGCTTGCATGTTGGCACAGAAATGGCACTTCTGCAAAGCATGTAACCTGCTTCTCTTCCTTTCTGCCCTTTATACCCAACCATTCCCCCAACCTTCTCACATCTCCCTCCAGTGAGACCTCCTTCTCTCCCTTACAAACTCAGAGAGCCTGTTGCAATAGTGTCTCGAATCTCTGAAGCTCACGTCTGATCATGTCACTTTCTTACTGAAAGCTTTATGAGACTCCTCACGGCTTTCAGAGGGAGTCCACTTACCTCAGCGTGGCATTTAAAGTCCTTCATAAATTGGCTCTTTCCTACTTTTCCAATCAGTACTCACAACTCTCCCCCTTGTCTTCTGAGTCATGAAGTTGAAAGCCCTTCAAAGGTTGTATAATGTGCTTAGATTAAGCACATTTACCTAGACAGTCTATTCCCCAAGACCAAAAGACTGCTCCCTTTCTCAGAAGCTTTAAGAAGAAATGGGAGAGGTGGTAGGGTCCTGGCATGGGTCTTTGGTCATGTTGCTATTTCTGGCAGCAGGCTCTGCTGGTGGAGCTTATGCTCGCCAACAGCCCTCTGTAGTATTGACACTGGGGCACGGAGGGACCCTTAGGTGGTGCTTGGAAATGCCTGGCTTCCTTAACTTTTGGTGTGGGCTCTTCACAGGATGTTTTCCACAAGCAAGACACTAACAGGTCAGGGTGCCTGAACTGGACCCAGCTGCGGGCTGCCACGAGGGATGCAGGTAGGCACAAAAGGAGCTGATGTTGCAGGGGACGAACAGGCAGGGAGGGGAGGGGTGTCTGTGACATTGTGGAGTAATTCTAATCAGCAAAGTTACTCCTTGAGTTTAGAGATTTAAACACATAAATCTGCAAATAACAGAAACATGGATTATTATAATCACTATGATCGTTGCTAACAATTATTGAGGGTTGGCATATCCACACTCTCATTTAATCTTCAACAACACTCTGTTAAAATCCCCACTTTACAGAGGAAGAAATTGAAGCTCAGAGAACTTAGGTAACTTGCCTGAGGTTTAAATCCAGGAACATCAGGCTCCACAGCAGATGTTCTTGGCCCCTAACAGACTACCTCCTGCCTGGAAGGCCAGTAACCCACTTGATAAAAAGATTCCCTTAGGCTGGTTGCCTAAGGGGGCAGGAATGGGGACTGGAGATAAAATAAAATTAATGAACTAAACAATTAAACAATTCACAGTGAACCCCTTAAAAGAAGATTACCATGCAATCAGGATTCAGGTCCCAGAAAAGGAGGGACTATTTAAAGGCCCTCAGGTGGGAGGGGAGCTAGGTACGAGGTCACTACCACCCACATGGTAGCCTGTGTTCAATGCAGGAATTGTGCTCGGCGATAACATCTGCCAGCTGATGCTTATCCGCTACGGTGGCCCCAACTTCCAAGTGGACTTTGTCAGCTTTGTCCTCTTGATGCTGCGTGTGGTGAAGATGGAGGGTGAGCTTGTGGGAAGGAGGGAGGGCCGGGGCTTCCTCTGCACTCCTCGTGGATTGCCTACCTGTCCCCAGTTCAAGCAGGAGGGAAGACAGCAGCCAGTGCAGAAAAGACAGGTCAGGGAGATTTGGGGAATGCTGGCTACAAGCCTGTGAAGCCTCGCTGTACCTACCCAAACTAATTTATACCCTGCGCATTCCAGAGGCAAAGGTTTGAGAGGGCACTTATAATAAGTGTGGCCACATGTGGTTGCACTTAGGCTGAACTTGGGTTCCCAGGTGCGGCGACAAAGGGGAGGAACTAGTTCATAATGTTTTCAGTATACATGCATACAATAGCTATGTTCCTCTCTGCTACACCTTCACAGATGTCTTCCAGAACCTAACCCAAGATGGCAAAGGGATATACCTCCGGAAGACAGAGGTAAGACTTTCTCCATGGGGTTGACACATCTTAGGTAAAAGGGGGCACTGTCAGTCCAGTCTCTTGTGAAGAAGGGCTTGAGGGGCTCTTTTCTACTGAGCTCGGGATGTAGCATTGCATTCATTATACTCATTCATTCATTCATTCATTCATCCATCAGATATTAATTTAGTACCCACTCTGTGCTAGGCACATATGAAGGGAACAGGAGGCCGATTCAGTGTACCCAATGACTGTGACTGCAATAACGCCATGAGACAAATTCACATAACTTCAGTGGTGATGACTGTACTTATTTAGCTCCCCAGTCATATGGCTGGAAGTTAGCAGGTCTTGGCTGGCTGCCTTGTGATCTGTGGGTGAGCTGGAGCTTTACTAGAACATTCACTGAGGAAGCTCAGCCAGGCTTGCCCTTCTCAGGACAGTGGCAGAAGCACAGAGGAGCAAGCTTAAACTTGCAAGGTCTCGGAGTCCTGGGACAACGTGCCTTGCAACTAATTCTGTTGTCCAAAGCAAGTCATGTGGCCAAGCCTTCTTCCAGTGTATGTAGAACTAGCCTCCTCCTCTGTCATGCATGAGAGGAACTTTAAAATTACTTGCAGAGGGTATGTACATACATAGAAGGTCTGAAGACCTGAGCCAACAATGAACTTGAGCATAGACAATCTTAGGTAGTCGTGTTCCACAAAGACCTTTCTGAAGGAGATGACACTGAAATCGAAACGTCAAAGGTTAGAAAGAGCCAGGCAGACAGAGTGGAGAGTAGGAAAGGCCCAGGCCAGAGAGAATAGCATATACAGTCCTAGGTAGAGTACAGAGAATGAGGAAACCTGCTCAGGGTGGGACTGAAGAGATCAGTGTCAGACTAAGAGTGTACAGGCCAGAAATAAACCTCATGTCATGAGCTGGCTTAGCATTCCCCATGTGGGAAGGGATTCTAATCTAGCATCTGCACCCTCTTCTCGAATCTCGTACAGTGCTTTGCATGCTATAGGTGCTTAACAAGTGTTTGTTGAGTCAGTGAGGAGAGGACAAATCTGTGCTGACACTGATCTTCCCTGATCATTCAAACTGCATGGGTTTATTGAGCACCTGTTATGTGCCAGATATGGTGCTAGGCAGTGTTTGCTGCAAAGACATTGGGGTCTGGTGTTAAATCATCTGCTCTTGTTTCTGAAACACAGCCTATGTTTGGGCCGCTTAGAAAGGCCAGTAAAAGCTAGGGTTTCTTCCTTGACCTCAAATATCCATTTTATAGGATATCTTTCCAAGATATAGGAACCCTCAATCACTCCCATATTCGAGTGTGAAGGTGAGATTCAGATGGAGGGGCAATGGTTAGACTCTTCTGAGCCCATCGCCATCTCAGATCCCCAAGCTCACCTCCTAATCCCAAGCAATCCTTCCATAGTGCGGGCTTGGAGCTGGGGGAGCAAGATAGCATGAGTGTGTAAATGAAAGAGGACAGCCCACAGCCCGAGCAGGCTCCAGCAATGCAAGGTGCTCTCATGGAAAGAAAACTGGATTGAGACCAGGGTTGAACCGACAGCAGGCCTTGTAACTAGCAAATCACATTAAGTCTCTGGGCCTCGGCTTTCCTGTGCATGAAATGAGTGAGCTGGGCTAGGTGTTCCCTAAGATCGTCTCTGGCCGTGACCTTCTCTGGTTCCACAAGGACCGTCCAAGGTAGTCTGCAGGGAGTGGCGGCCAACTTGTTGGAATTTCACTCTGGGGTTTTCTTTGACACCTTTGGTAACTTGCTTCATCATCATCATCATCATCGTCGTCGTCGTCGTCGTCATTGTCATTGTCATTGTCAGCAGCAGCAGCAGCAGCAGCAGCATTTGGATATAATTGGCCTGTGGAACTGTTTCTCCACAAGTCACCTCTTTGTGAGTTAGAGGGACAGTTCATCACACCCACATAAAACTGTCAGACAAATGAGCCCATAAATGTAAACGTGTAGAATATGCTCTAATGGATTTCTGCTACCCAGTCAGTCCACACAGCTGCACACAGCTGTCATGAGCATGCCAAATTGAATTCATGAGAAAAAAAAACAGGCATTGGGAATTGAATACAGAATCAGCCTGTACTTTGGCTCTCATCATTCATAGGCACCAGGAGAAGTCAAGGTTGATTATATTTCAGGTTGATTTATACTTACTACCAGATGGTGTGGTCCCTCTGGCTAAACCATCCATTAATGTCATGTCTCCATGGCTTCCCAGAAGTGAGCGGGAGGAGGCCCCAAGTCCTGTGTCAGGCTCTGGGACCTGGTAACCAAGAAATGAAGCACCTTTTAACTGAGTGTCAGAGGTGGGACTGAACTGACCGTAATTTGCTTCCCTGTTATGTCCAGTGGCAGATGATGACTCTATACTCTTAAGACAACTGAAGCTTCATCTGCCCTCACTGAGGACTCTGCATATGGCCCAAGTGGAGCCATTGGCTGAGACCAGCCGATGCTCAACCCACTTACTGTTCTTCAGGACCGTGTCTCCAGTCATCACCTCCTCAGCTGGGAAGATTTTTTGTTTGTAGATCTCCACTTTGGATAGCCAGCATGCAAAAAGGGAACAGAAGTAGCAAAGACTACCTTGGACTTGTAAAGACGAAGTCTTCTTCCCTATGGCTACAACCTTGTCATAGCAGAGATGTTACCTGACGTAGTCTAAGCAATATGACTCCAGAGATGATACCTTAACCTCTATACAATGCTGCCTTGGTGGCTGTTCAACTTAAATGACCTTAGACATGCCAAGTGTCATCACATTTGGAGCAATAGTCTAGGTTTCAAGATCTGAAGAGAAAATGCTATGTCCTTAGACAACTGTACCTGCATCTGTAAATTGGTGGAGACACAGGCTAAGTTTCAACTGTTTGGGTGTAGGGTGGGGATATGTGGAGCTTTCAAGAGCACAGGCAGAACTGGCAGAATCTAGGTGGGATGAGATGGCTGTGGCATCTGAGGTTACTGGGTGGTCTTCTACTGACATTATCTCCAGATGATTGAATTTGGGGGCGGGGGACCTGTGGCTTTAAAACACCTAAGTTCTTAAAGGGCTTCCTATATGTGACAGGTGTCAGTTTGTTTACTTGATCTGTGGACTATCATATCCATTTCAAATCAGTCCAGAAAGTCTGTACACCTACTTCAAAGAAGAATAACAAATCCATGCTGCATCATAGAGTTCATCAGTGGATGGTCGGTATATCTGATTGTTTTGAACTAGCATGACACCTGACTTCCTAGCATCCCTACCAATCCAGATCCCAGGTGGAAAACCTGAACAAAGGCCACTTCCCAAAGCCTGTGCATTTTACTCACAGCTGTGCACCTCAGAGCCACTCAGTAAAATTCTAGTTTCCTTTATTTACAAACTATTCTAACAAGCATGGCTATCTGGTTTTCAAGTCTTTAGCAGGCTAAAGGAGAAGGCTAAACAAGGGGTAAGTGTGTCCACTGGCAGAAGTAAAGGAAATTTCACAACCTGACAGATGGGCACTGCAGGAGAAGGGGAAAGCACTTTCAAAGCATGGCTTAAGGAGGCGGGAAAGTATTTCATTTAGAGAGATCTTTATTCCAAATGAGAAAAATGTAAAGTGGTGTGCTGTAAAGTATCAGATACATGAGGTTTTACTGATTTTATAAATGATAATCATGTATGTATAGTCTTTAAAAGACTTTTATGTCTATTTTTCAGTATCTCTGTTTTCAGATTCTGCCATTGTAAATAACTGTTTTAATTAAATGGTTACTACTTTGGTCCATGAAGGCGATTTTGGAGATTTTGTTGGGTGGTGGGAGCATGTTACAATTAGCTTGCTCGTGACACCTGGGCTACAGTGTGATGGTTTTGCTTGACGCAGATGGGATCTATATCCAAGTTCATTAAGTCTGATAGAGCCCTGCTTCTGGCTTCTTGGTGGTCTGAACTGCCCTCCTATGTCATGTGTTACTTTTACTCTCCTGTGTATCACTGTGGCAACTCAGAGATGCCTTGTGCCCTGCAGACCTCCACCCCCACCGACTCCCTCCAGTGCCCCCTCCCGCCAGGGCTGAGTACTAGAGATCAGGAGCAAAGTCATCTCCCCACCCAAATATACCTTCCCCATCTTTTGTCATTTCAGGGCATGGCGGGCAAGTAAAGATCTGGGACAGAATAGTCTGAGCAGGGTCAGGATGAAGTCATGTTGAAGGTCTGAGTGGTGAATATCAGTCATTTCCAGAAGTCGAAAGTCAAAATTTTATCACGATCAAGACAAGTGAAAAATACGCGTGCCAGAAGTCCAGTGAAGGAGAAGTGAGGAATCAGCCCTCAGGTGCCAAGACGGTTGAGGTCAGGGAGTCCAGAAGGTTGACTTGTCCACAGGTCAAGCCCACGCAGGCAGAGCATCACAGGGTGAGTCCTGTCCTTGGCTTTCAAAACCTCAAGGGAAAAAAAAATGACTCTAATGGATGAAAGAAAAGGACAGTACAAGAGGAGCTAAAATACCTACATTTTCCTTAGCCCCGTTTTCTCTTTTTTTCTTCTATCATGTTTTGTATAAGAAGTCAGTCGCCAAAGGAAACCTTCTAGATTTTAGTAGGGGCCCTGGGCAGGGCAGTCAGTAGCTGACTGTAAATAGCACTGCTTTCCTGCTGTTGTCACGCTGGGTTAGAGAAATGATTTTAGCCTCCAGGATTTTCAATCTGATGTTTCCCCCAGTGAAATATATGTATTTATATTTATAATGGAAGAGAGAGGGAAATGAGTTTCATGGGTGACGGGCAGGTGAAAGTGGGCCAACTCTGCCTGGCTTTAAGGAGGAGCAAGCTGTGTATCCAGCTCCCGAAGAGCTCCGGGAAGATAGCCCCCTGGGTCACTGGCCATAGCCCTGAGCTACCACTACTTTTTCAGTGTCCTGAGGACAGCAGGGGTATAAAATCCAACAGGCATGAAAGCGAGGAGAGGTTGGGAAGGAACATTGTGGCCAGGTGACATTGGACCTCAGTTTACTCGTTTGTAAAATGGAGCCCAAAATGTCTCCATCACTGGGTCATTAGGAAGCTCAAATAACGCCAGCATGCTGCAGGCGCTCAATAAGTGACGCTCCACTTTCTTCCCTTGGTAGCAAAGTATTTTTTAACAACTATTATCATTTATTTTTGGTTTTGTTTTAAGGAACATGGTCACTCCTAGTGACCGCTCCTCTGGAGCACGCAAGGCTTCGTACTCCAGTTTTACTTTCCTCTTCTTCCTCCATGTCTCCTCTGTGAACGTATCAAGCCACTTCCTTGAACTGTGGCCTCAAGAGGGTTGTCCCAGTCCCCAGTGTCAGGGACCCAGCGCCAGGGACCCCGGAGAAAGTGGCCATCTTCTTGATAAAGCTCCTTTTAAGTCAAACAGACAAGGACCCTGCCCTCTCTGCTCACCTCAAACCTCAGGAGGGGCAGAAGGTTTTGTCATCAGAGCCCCAAGTGGTCAACGAGGGTTTGAGGGTAGATAAAGGTGAAAACAATGCTCACCTCACAGGGCGAGGATCATAAGATAACATAGGATCCATTCTGGCACTTGGCAGTGTGTTTTAAACAGGTGAGCTCAACCTGATTTCTCTGGGGTAGGGAGGGCACTTTCCTTCCTGCATTTGTGGGATGTGCTGAGGCTGTGCTACCACTAGATGGTGCGCTGTTCCCACAAAAGGGCTCCCTCAGGGCTGTGGGACTGACTGGATGACAACTTCAGCCCCTAGCCGGGGAAACCTAGGCTGATTCCTCTCCTGCCACCCTGACTCAGCTCAAGGGTCCAGTTTCAGCCCCACACAGACACACTTTCCTTGCCTTGCCTCTTTTTTATGCTTAGTTTTTGATTGATGCATTGCTCTTTATTTTATGCAGTATATTTGTTTCTGAAAAAAGCAAACTGTGTTCAAGCCCTTGTTTCAAATGCATCTCCTTGAGGGATTCAACTGCTCCCAGCCCAGGCTTTCTTGTCCTGCAGTGCCTAGCTTAGTGTCTAGGTCACATTTGAGTTTTATTGAACGAATGAACGATTTCTGAAGTAATTCATGTGAATCCTGTCCTTTGAAAAGGCAGTATCGATTTGAATTGCTAACTGAAAATATTAATATGTAAGATTTGCTTACAGAGGTATAGTTTTCCTTTAAAAGGATCCTTCTGATGTTGGCTAAGGTACAGTTTCACTCAGCACCATGCCCTGACCGAAGGGGCAGTTCAAACCACCATTAAAAAGCTCATCAGACTCTGTCTGAAGACATACATGTTTCATCTTGACATTCTAGAGATTGGGACATCATTTTCTCTTACATGGTCAGAATTCCTCTTCCCAGAAGGATTAACCCATGGCATCAAGTTCCAGAGCCTTTTTGCTTTCAGGTTGTGACAGTGAAAGCTCTGTGAACAGTGGGAGGTGGCTTGTCTTAGGCCCGAACCCAGACCAAAGTGGGTTTTCGTCTCCACCTAAGTTCTCATCTCCATCCTAAGCCTCAGCTTACACAGCTTCTCCTGCCTGCAGAAGAAAATGAGGCCGGCAGTCCTGCAACCCAACACAGGCAGGGCGGAGTGGTGGAAGGAGCAGGCCTGACGGTGTCAGGGAGTCTAGGTGTTTCCAGTTCTCCTGGAAAGCTGTCCACGGAGGCTCAGAGAAGTTCCCTAACTTCTCAGTTTAACTATTTAAGAAGGTTATGTGTGCAGTTGGAGGAGACTGGACTGTACAACTTCTAAGTCTGCCTCTGGCTAGAGATAACACATTTGCCAAGAGCACAGGCTGGCCTTAGAAGGAGGTGCCTGCTTGAGTCCAGCTCTACCAGTTACAAGTGTAAGTCACCTTTGGCGAGTTGCCAATGTCTGTGTCTCTGGTCCAGAGGACGCAGTGTGGATCATGTGTGATCACATATCAAGCTGCTTAGCTTAGCGTCATGCTGACCTACAGGAGGGCCCATCTCTGCAATGGCCTGGGACTCCATCAGGGGAGAAGACGGGTGTTTTCTGAACCAGGGCAAACCAGAGGCCACAGGGCTCTGATGCCTGAAACCCAGGCTTCACTTCTGCCTAGAAAACATCTATCTGAGGGCTTTGGTACAAAGGATTCATTTCCCAGATTCATTTTCCTTTTGGCTGAATAAAATGATAAAAATGATCATTGTCTTTGTTTTGACTTCCCATTGGTCTCACATTGAGTCTCCCCCAAGAGGGAGCTTCACCACACTTGGCATGCCACTCACCCAGCTAGCAGACCGATTTGTTCATCTACAGTAGCTGCAAGAGGCAGCCCTGCCGAGGCTGCACAGCCTCATGCAGTAGCACATGCTCAGGCAGAGCCAGAGAACCAGGCTGTGGACCCCTGGGCCACCCTTTCCATTCTTACGCCTTCGGTGGGTATTGCACGCACTCGGAGAAGTGGGCCTGGGTCCGGTGCCACCGCAAGGCTGGCCTGTGTGCTAAGCCTCACTCTCATTTCATCGGGGGTCCCCTGAGTGCAGCTCAGGCGGCTAACTCACGCAGAACATTCTTCTCCTGGTCTTTGGCTTCCTTAAGAAGGGAGAAATCAGAGATTGTTGGAGTGCCTTTGGCTGGGGAATTAATGCTGACAGGACCGTGGTGTTTTCGGGGTGCAGATACTTGACTCCTCAAATTGCTGCTGCCTCATTCACAATAGCCAAGACTTGGAAACAACTGAAATGCCCATCGGTAGATGACTGGCTTAAGAAACTGTGGTACATTTATACAATGTAGTATTACTCTGCTATGAAGAAGAATGAAATCGTACCATTTGGGACGATATGGATGGACTTAGAGACTATTAGGTTAAGTGAAATAAGTCAGTCGGGGAAAGACAAATACCATATGATTTCACTTATATGTGGAATCTAAAAAACTGAATGAACAACCAAAGTAAACAGAAGTGGTCTCAGAGATATAGAAGAAAAACTGATGGCTGCTAGTTGGGAGGGGGTGGGGATGAGGGAGAAGGGGAAGGGGTTAGACAGCATAAATACATAACTACAATATTCGAGGAATATAATTCTGATGTTGTATAATATTGTATGTCAAGGGAATTGTAATAGATATGTATGATATTGGGGGGGAAGTGGGGCGGCAGATTGGGGGAGGGGGGTTTTCACCTCAAGGGGTAAAAAGTATAAGTACTGCACTGTGTTGTACAGCTGAAACTAATTCTAAAAAATGTGTATTTCACAATAAAAAATAATTAAAACAAAACAAAATAAAAAACAAACAAACAAAAAACAAATTGCTGCTGCCTCTGCATGAGTGGATGAGCTTCTAGAGCAGCGGTTCTCAACCTGTGGGTCGCGACCCCTTTGGGGGTCGAACGACCCTTTCACAGGGGTCGCCTAAGACCATCGGAAAACAAAAAGATATTTACATTACGATTCATAACAGAAGCAAAATTACAGTTATAGAGTAGCAACGAAAATAATTTTATGGTTGGGGGTCACCACAACATGAGGAACGGTATTAAGGGGTCGCGGCATCAGGAAGGTTGAGAACCGCTGCTCTGGAGAGAATGAGCTGCGGGAGGCTTCCATGCGAGGTGCGCACGCAGTCAGGTTCGGACATTGCCCAGAAATGGTCCTGTGAGGTTGTTGTTCAGGCCTGC